AATGTCTGATGCTCATCTTCAAAGCAAAAAAATCAAGTCAAATAGCCTTGCAGGATAAAAAAACATGTATATAAAAACATGTCATAAAAACATTTTTTTCCTATAAATTTCTCTGAGTGTCGGAAAAGAGCCAAAAAGTATGTGAGGTATCTGGTAAATATAATTTTTAGGATGCTGAATTGAAAAAAAATGTTATTACTAAATTTGTGTTCTTCTTCCCACTCTGCCTGCTTTTTGTCTCGCACTTCCTTCAGCCTCTCATATAAAGAACGGTGGTCAATCTGTTCTTCCGGTGCTTCTGAAGAAATACTTATTGATAAATCTCACAAACTTTGAAACGATAAGCCTGTCAGCACAGGTAGCTTACCGATAGGGTCCTCAGGTTTTCTAACTTTTTCCCATTCTTCTTGTCTACGCTTCCGTATTTCCTCTAATTCTTTGGTAGAAACGAACCTATCCCCCATTTAGATAAAAACTGAAATTGTACATAACAGTACTGTACTCAAACTCTTTAACTACAACAACTAAAAAGCTGACAAAAAAAAGACGAATAAACAGAAAAGAGTTCGAATCTATTAAAAACCTTGCAGCCCACATACATTCTTTCCAAAAAAGAAGTAAGGACAATCGCTAAGCTGCGTTTAAAGGATGGACAAAAAGTAATAAAAATAGCTGCTGTATACAAAATAATCAAGTACAAATTCATGAAAGCTTTTTTCAAATGTTAACTAGACATATAATTAAGTCAACAGATTTACAACGTGAATTCTATTAGCAAAAACAAAAGACTACACTCAGAAGATTATATAAATGCCTTCCGAAAAACGACATAAAGTTGAACAACAGGTGTAATGTTGCAGAAAATATTAGTTTCATGTCAGAATTTCTCAAAATGATAGGGCAGTGGGTGTTAAGGCGAGCAGCAAAAGAACCAAAAAATTTTCAGAATCTAAGAATCTGCAGCATTAAACCACCTAAAAACTCGGCGCAGGAACTGCAGTTCTCTGATAACGAGTAATTGAGGTGACAAAAAACCACCTTTAAGGCGATGCCTAGTTGTTATTTCGAATGAATTCCCGTTCTCTCATTAGCTTGAAAAGTTGTTCCTAAAAATTTTATTATGCAACAACCATCATCATGCTCTCATGACCCTGTATCATACATCAGATCAATTGCTACACAAACACCTCTCTCAAATAATTCTAGATTGCAAGTGGAGTGATAAGGCCTATCAGTAGCCAACCATTAAAGCAATATTAAACTAATATTAAACACGTTGCCTAAGTAAACTGATTCCTTAATAAATTGAAGAAACGTTGCTTTTGTCTATGCAGTAGAAAGAGATTAACGGTAGCACGAAAACTGATATTGCCATATCTATTCCACATCACCTCTAAATTTTTTATGGAGCGACAAATGCAATTAAAATAGCCGCTGATCGGATAACAGTTAAGATAACCAATATTCTGAACGCTATAGTCCAACGGTTTCTTTTTTTTTGCTTTAAAAGGGTGGAGATGAAGCGACCGAATTTGAACAGCACACTTGCTGGCAAAGATCCAATTTTTGAAAAAATCATCACCATTCTTATCGATAGGGGTGGGAACAAGATCTTTCGTCCTGAGCCGTCTGTTGCTTGAGAGTGTTTAACTTCGTAATTATTGAGCTATCTTCTCGGTGACACGACAGAATCGAGGTGCTAATTCTGTCATTTTGTCAGCTTTTGCTTGTCCATCACTGCGCAAAATCTGCTACTCTGTTACAGTTAAAAGATTATTCGTGAAAACTCAGACTAAAAGTGGAATGATGGATACTTATATTTAGTTAGAGTTAAACTTAAGTAGGGACGTGTTTCAACTTCTGTAAAATTCCTTTGGTTCATCATATTATTATAGCTATCTTCATCGGCGCAACCGAAACTATTTGTAGGGCATAAAGGCCAAGAATGAACTTGCAGGATAGTAACAAATGTATTTAAAGTTCGCTCAAGTCGAAATTTAGAGTTCAGCCACTTCTAATTTTAATGCCAATTCAGAGACTGTATTGGCGACCAACAACTGGACAACATGGATTTTTTTCTACTATGGTAAACGTTTTCAAGTTACCTCTGTTGAAGTGCGCTGTGTTGATTGTTCATGGCTTCTTTGTTGTTCAGTAGCTCAGAAGGTTGTTGATCTTGACTGCCGCTGTACGACACGTCTAAAACTGATGGGTTCCGTGGTTTTTCTCTGTTTACAAAATCGTGAGGTTTATTTGACGAAAGGGTTCTGTTGTTCGAAATATGAGAAATCTAGATTTTTTTAGCATCCGTGATTTATATCTTGTATTGTGTATCTACCAGTCTATATCTACCAGAAAAAGTAACGTGTACTGTGTTGTTTAAACTCATTGCTTCAATGTTGTTGAAGTGACCGTTAACCGTTGGTATGATAGCATCATTGCGTGGTCACGACGGTTTTTCCCTGTTTAAATAACCAGATCTTTTCATGTATTACCAATACAATCAGTGGCAACCGATAATGTTACTTTTAGATTCAGATTGAGACGTTAAATTAAACGTTATTCGGTTTTACGTTGGCGAGTAGAAGTGGCTGTCAGGTTGGTTTTTTTCTGATCTATACTTGGAAAACTTGTAATAATCTTTTTAGATCTTTTTTATAATCCTGGACTAGTTTTTTCCCCTTGAATAACGAGGATTTTCACATAGGGCTTGTAACAGTCAACACTTTGCGTTAGTCTTGATGACATACAGACTGAAACATCAGGTTATGGTGAACTTATAATTTTTGACAGCATCTATTTGCCAAAAATATGTTGATTTTTGAAACGCCGCTGGAAGGCTGTGGTACAGAAACTTAAAAAACTCGTTAGCAACGATACTCTTTATTTAGGATGATTACTGACGTACAATTGGCTATATTTTCAAACTTGATTGGTGTGTCAATCTTTGCTCTGGTTGTTGTGTTTCATTATGTAGCTGCGAACAACCCGAAACGCGCGAGACAACAGCGCTAATACTATCATTTTGATTGTCACTTATCAAAAAATGACTTTGGGATTTAATTTGTCGGATGCCAATATTTCTTCTGTATGAGCGTTATTTTACGTTATTTTATTTCACTTGTTTGTTATGAAATACTTTTCCTTTCATTAAACTTTAGAGAAGACTCTAGTTTATACATGTTTTAAAAGCTTGAACGCGGCTAAGATAATACTGGTTTTCTCGTAGTATTTGTGTTTTCCATGAAATTACGAGACTTCAACACTGTAAGCATTTCACGTGTAAAGGCAACACGAAAAAGCATTGCTGTAGTATTAGTATGGTGTAATGCCTACTTGTATTCTTTTGATATTACATTCATTCCTTTCCTTGGCTGCTTCACTTTTGATGACCAGGTGAACCAGTAGTCTGAAAAGTACTTGTTTTTTTCAACAGGGTTGTTCATTATTACAACTAATAATAGTTGTTCTTGATTAATCGCTGTTGAATACCAATTGTTTTCGGCCCTTTTGAAGGAGTCGTTTCTAGGGATTTATTTTATTGTTTGGAAGCGTTTGCGGCTTTGGAAAGAAAGTTAAAGTTGAAGTGCGGCGTCTGTTGTTAGGGAGGGTGTGCTCAATTCAAACGCGGGGTATTGAATTTGTTTTATGAAGTAGGATCAAGAGCTTGTGGTAGGAAGTGAGTTTGATTTGGTAGGATTAGGATGTATTATTAGTTTTAACTTCTTTTTTTTCACTTTGCTTATTGTATGGAAAGCTTTTATCAGGTTTTTGGAGCATCCGCTTTTATTCGGATTTCTGGTTTCTGCCATACTTTTACAGTATTTAGTGATGCAAATCAAGAACAGATTTTGATGTTGTTAGATTCATTTCGGTTTATTACTACATATAACTTTGAACGTTTGGCGACACATATATGGAATGAAAAAGCAGTTCTGTGGGGTTGAGATCAAACACTAAATGTCTTTGGGAATTTAGGATATAGGTGAGTTTCGGTCGGTTTGTGACATTTTGCTCACACATTTGAACGATTAAACGGCCATATGAAAAGTTCTAGTTGACAACTGGTATAAGCCCAAGTGGTCAGAGTTCAGTTTGGTGCCTTCCGATCTGGTCCTTCAGGTCCCTGTCCATTTGTGCCATCAATTCTTTTATCTAAAATTTTCCTAAGAAGGAATTTTCTTTGAAGAAAATAAGTTCAAATTCTTTTTGGTGCACTTTTGAAAATTTGGGGTCTTTGAAAATATAAACTTTGAACTGTATAAAGTTAGCAAAAGTGGCTGTTAAAGTACTAATCAAAGTTTTGAACCGATGGGCGCTTACAATTTTATAAAAAAAACAGGCTGTTGGGTCTTCGTCTTCTTCGTTGGGACAGTGGGGTGTACCATCGCATATTTCTTCAATGGTTACTGCCGTCACATGATCTTTCATACGGTTTTTTGATCTCGTCGGACACTCAAAACCTTCTTTTGGCTTCACCAGATTCATAACTTTTTTACCTTTGAATTGTTCTCGTTCTGAATTTGTAGGCGATTTTAATGCCTAATGATAAAAGCTATTGAAAAAAATACGCTCTCAAAGAAACCTCTTTTTTTACGATCAGGCGGCATCGATGAAACATGGCGGTTATGGTGTAGATGCCGTATTGGATGTTCGCCGTGTCGTCTATGAATAATTCGTTCTATTTCCTGTACATCCTTTCTTTCATCTGACACTTTACTTATCGGATCTTCATCGGATGTATCCTCTGATTTTTTCCTGAAATATTTTGAGTTTAATTTTTATCAGTGAGGTATGTTAATTATTAGCAGGGTTTCCTATTATTTTATTCTCCAAATTGCATTCAGTGAAGAAAGCGTTATTAGACAATTTTTTGAGCATACTGTTCCTAGGTATGTTTAAAGTGTTAGTTCTTACCAGGCTGTATTCACAATGCGAATATGATAGGTTTTCGCTGCAGAAGATGGTGATGTGTCGATTTCAACTGACGATTTTTCAGCTATGTGGCGCTAAAAGCAACAGACATTTGTTTGTTGTTGTATTACGCAAATAGAGAATTTTTTGAAGGACATTTTGAAGATTAGTTCACAAAAAAGTAGTCGCGAAAAAGCCTTTAACAAAGTCAAAAACTGAATTGTTAATATATGAACGGGCAAAACTTACTGGCTTTCTATTTTTAACATCATTTGTTGCCCAATTGACGTCTGCTTCAGTACTCTGAATCCGTAAGCAGATTAATGGAAATTAGGCTGAGTTTAACCAAAAAAATAGCTCATTCTATTTGAACGGATTAAAGCAGGAAAAACAGTAAGCAAAATTATAAATAAAGCTGCTCAAAGTAAATTGATAGCATTTTTTTGGTAGAAGAAATACCTTTTGTGGTTTAACGTCTAAGAGTGCTTGAATTACAGCGACTTTAAAAGATTCATCGGGTTTGATAATACTGCTGAAATGGCGAAAAAAGAAACTGAGGAATGGTAAAGTAAAGTTTTATTATGTACTAAATGGTTTTTGAATTTGTACTCAATGTTCCACTGAAGGCTACTTCTTTTTTTTGACACGTTTGTTGTCCAATTGTACGAAACAAAAGATTAAAGTAAATTTTTGTTCAGTTTTAGAGGAAAAGTAAGAAGAGTTTTTGTTTTGTTAAGCCTGCTTATCTAACAGTTCTGTGATCATAATCCTACTGATGACTGTTTGCATTTTTGACTGTATTTATGGATTGTTTGCACAGCAGCAAACTTTTTTTTTTTTTGATTGGTTAAAGTTCAACTATCAAACGGCAACTTAAAATTAGTTGATGCAGACAATTTTTTGGCATACAGTTTTGCTAAGAATGATAGAACTTTTTTCTTTTTCATAAAACTGCATTGTTAAAATGCTTTTTGTAACAATTAGAAACAGGCTTTAAGAGGATCGATTAAGGTCAAAAAAAAAAAGGAAGAACTTGTTTAATGTGCAAACTATGTGGAAATAAATGTTTTGAAATGATCTAAATTCTACTGCGTGCTCTCTGCTTGGAAGTAAAATCTTATTTCATACGTTATAACGGAGCAGATTTTTGCTAAATCGTACAAGAATTTTACGTTTAAATTACAAGGCGTTTACAGATAAGCAAACGCAAAGGGTGGATAAATAAGGCAAGGTGCAACAGGTCGCTTAAGCTGCTCAGCCTTAGATGTTTTCAACTTCTTTAAATCTCTCATAATATAAGAAAATAAGTGTTTTTTTTTAATTTCATGAGCCTTTTTTTGGCCGTCTGGCACCAAAAAGAAAATTTTAGCTATCACAAAACTGAAAATTTATTGATTTTAACAAGGAGTTTTGATAAGCAAAAAGGCTTTTGTTGAACACGGTTGTTCATCAGTGACGTGGTCGGACACTGATGTGCCTACAAAGGGATCAAAAAGAAAATTTTAAAAAGAAAAAAATGGAAAGCGAAAAGTAAGATTTTATTAAACTTAAACCTGTGTATCGTACTGAGATCTACGACCGTTGTAGTAGGTTCCGTGGTGGCGCTGGTAGTGATAGTAGTGGTTGAATGTGCCGAAATAGACGGTGATTTACAGGTCAGAATCATTGTTATCATCATCCTGATCAGGACGGTACAAAAAGTGACTGGAAAAGCTGTTGACAAACTTGCAGAGCCCACCCACATTGGGTTCTACTCTTCTGATTTTTGAGCATTCAGTAGACGTGAATTCTTCCTCATAAACTTCAGGTAATAAGTTGTTGCAAGTTACCTCTCTCTGTCTCTCCCTCTTGCTCTGTTGTTCGCAACAACGTTGTACGTTTAAGTTTGCAGGAAAGAGGGAAAGAAAATGAGGGCGAAAAAAAAAAGAAGAAAAGAAAAATCTTTATGCTTTTTTTCTTCTCTTTTTGCACCGTTAACTTGTCTTTCCTGATTATGCCAAAAACGCAGAATCAGTAGGTTCTTGGCCTGTGTCTGGATCCTTCTGGCCTATCCAATGAACTGCATTTGGTTTAAGGTATTTGTAAGAAACAATCCAGTCAGTGGAGCAATGACAACAGCTGTTTAGGAAAAAATGAAGAATTTTGGGGGTAAATTTAGGGCTAAAAGAGTAGCAAGCAGGACGATGAGAGGGGAGGAGAGGGAAAACAGATAAAAAACAAGGAAGGAATATATATGTATTTATGGATTATTCAGGAAAAACTTGTTGTTTGAAATTTGCCGACTTCTACTGCTTCTTCCTCTTCCTCCTCTTCTCCTTCTTCTGCCTCTGTTCTTGGTTTATTTTTATCTTGGATTTGATTCAGTTTCTGCTTATTGACTCTCCTGTAAAATAAATGACATAAAAGAAAGGGATCAATTAATCAGCTGAATAACAAAGACATCTAGCTTTTTTTTAGAAAGGGGGGAAGGGTATTTAAAAATATATGAAAAAAAGATCCCGGAAATCGGGAATGAAGAGGAAAAAGTGGATACAAATAGTAAGAAAAATAACAGGCAACAAATAACACTGAGCATGTATAGAAATGAATTTTTTTTGTTTAGTTCAAGCTGTAAATCTTTGCATTTATTCTTTAGTCTTCCTTATCCTTTCGGTTCTGATTTTTTTGTTACTGTTTTTGTTGTTAACATTGACCAGAATTTATGATCTTGAACTTTTTGTTAATTTTTTTTGTATTAGACAAAAATA